CTGCCTCCGGATTCCACTGCTGGCCGCGATGCCCAGGCCCGCATCCCTAGTGAGTGACCAGCATTGAGTCTGCATACCCTGGACAAGGTGTCAAGAGGTGAGGCCTCAGAGCCTATGGGGAGCAGGGGGAGGGCAAGGGGCCTGAGATCCTTGGAGGGGGCTGTGGAGGGGCCTCTGCCCTGGCGCCCCAGAAAGAGGTGCTTAGGGCCTGAGGCCTGAGCTATGCTGGGGTCCTGCTGTTCTGTACCTCCCCCCATCCCCTCATCAATGCAGACCAGCTCCGCGTGCGCTCGTGCGTGTGTGGTGGGCGCTTGCCTGTCTGCGTGTATGTGTGTGTGGAGTGTGTGAGCCCGCGTGAGTTGTCCTTGCTGTCGACTGGCACCACCCTTTGCCATTAGTAACCCCATCACTCATGGGGGCCAGGTCACCAGAGACTTGGAAGAGGCCCCACCCGACCTACCTTGTCTAACAGCCACACCAGGTGGCCCCCTTTGTTCTCCTGCCTCTCTACCTGCCTGCAGGGTCCTCATTCACCACCCCACCCCCTCAAGTTGCTGACCAGGCAGCCGGGCAGGATCCCCTCCTCAGTCTTTTATTTCTGCCCACAGCATCCCTGCCACTGGTGCCACCCCCTGGTTCCCTCCTCACCTCATCACTTCCCCTGTCACCCCCTCTTCATCCGTTCAGACTCAGCGTAGACATGGACTCCTCCTCTAGGAAGCCCTCCCTGATCCTCCTCTGTGCTCTCAGACTGTAGGACCTAAGAGGGCACGGCCTACATGGTATTTATTGTAGTGTTTTCAGAGGCTAAAACCTAATAGATCTTTTTAAATGAATCAGACTATAACCTCTGTGTGCTTCATATTTCTTATCTGTAAAATGAAAATAATACTATTTGACACAAGGGTTCTGAATAGGGAAGTGGGTGATGAATCTGAATTTCCTGTCACTGTGCTGGAGAAATCACAGATGTTCCAGAAACAACTCTCATGTCTCTGCCCTAACGTTTATGGATACACGTTCTTTTCTGTTTAAATCCTTTCTATTAAAAATATTGTACATTTTTGGATTCCTTTGGCCTCAGAGCACAACCGGCTTCTTGTAGCTCAGGTCTCTATTGGAAGGTCACCTCCTCACGGGGACTTTCTTTGATGACCTCATCTAAACTGCCCCACCCATCCAACACTCTCCACTCCAGTGGTTATCTCATCATGACCTGAACTTGATTCGTTTGTAACTTTTTGATCTGTCACTCCCTCCCTAGAATGTGAGAACCACAGCGGCAGAGACCTAGGTTGCCTTTTCCATTCCTGGAGCCCCCAGTGCCCAGAGCCATGCCTGGCACACAGCGGCGATCCCTGAGTTTCCGAGGCTGAGGCTGTGAAGTCTCTAGGGGACAAATGCCAGTGTGTGTGTTGTGTGTGTGTGTGTGTGTTTGGGATAGAGGATGGTGGGGTAGCTCTTCCCCCCTCATCATACGTCTCAGGGAAGTGGGCTGGGGGGGACTCCTGTGCTCCCCCCACATGCTCCTGGAGGGAAATCGGGAGCCATGGTCCCTCCAGGGCTGCCTGGGGGTGTAAGGGAGGGGGCGGCACCTTCTTTGCCTGGTGACTCCTGAACACAGTCCATCTGCCAGCAAGGAGGGACGGGCTGCTTCTGCTGTTCCCCGACTTTGGAGGGACACTCCCTGCTGCCCCAAGCTGGGACCCCAGGCCCAGGCCTGCCTCTTACTGGTGGGATTTTCTTCCCTGTGTGGCATTTGCTCTTCTCCTTTCCTCACTCTTGCCTTCCTGTCACCAGAGTCTGACAGGCCCCCTCCCACCTGCATTCTCCATCATCACCAAATCCTCAAACGTCCAGCTTTAGGGGTGCTGTGAGGTTCCCTGTGTCTCCTGCAGTGGGGAATGCTACCCCACTGGGGCTTCCTGGTGCTCAGCCCCCACCCTGCCACTCTGACCCTTGCCCTGGGCATGGTGGGAGGGATTCCAGAGAAAGGCTGCCAGAGGCTCCCGCCTGTACCTGCTGCCCTTCCTGCTGGGGAAGGGAACTCAGTCCCCATGTGTCCCCCTCTCCCCCCAGCTGAGGGGGTCCAGGGCCAGACAAGCCTACTTGACTTCTGGCTCAGGTAGGCACAGAGGGTGTGCACGGACGCAGCTTTGGACCCAGGCCCTTGGCCAGCCTCAGTGGCATTACCCGGTGTGGCAAGGACGCCCCCTACCAGCTCTGGCCCTCCACCCCATGACCCCTCAGCCCTGCTCTCTACACCGGGGTGGCCCAGAGACACTGCCTTATCCTCAGAGCTGTCAGCACCTCCGGTTCTAGAGCTCCCAGCCCTGGAAGGGCCCCAGAATGTTTGCACAGGGGATTTCAGGGTTCAGAGGTTTGTGAAGTGGGCTCTGTGGAGTGCCCTGGAGCCAATCTGCGTGCACGTGTGTGTGTGTGCGCACGCGTGCGCACGCACATGTATGATGGACTAAATACTGGGGCTCTGGGTCCCCACTCCTACTGTGACCATAGAACCCCAAACTTTTTCTGTTACTAGTGGAGACTTCACATAAGTTACTATTTAAGTAAAAGGATCCATTATTTTTAAAAAAGAAAGGTTTGAAAATCATGATACCTAGACAAAACTCATTTTATGTGTGGGGAAACTGAGGCCCAGGGATCAAATGGCTTCTCAAGGTCACAGTGGGATCAGTGGCAGAGCTGGTATCATACCAGGCTGCCTGGCTCACAGGCTGACCAGGCCGAAATGTCCCTTTCAAGAGGTGGCAGGTGAGGGCGGAATGCCAGGAAGGCCTCATCCAGAGACCCGGGTTAAGGTCACAGCCTCCCCACCCCACGGGCCCCCTGTGAAGTGCCTGGGAGAACAGTTGCATTGGAAATTTCCCTCAGTTCTTAACTGGAGGCTTGAGGTTTGGGAGTGGAAAGGGGCGGGATGAGGGAGGAAGAGTGGAGTGGGGGTGGGGGACAGGGGTTCATCCTCTAGGTCACTCATACCCCATCCCCCAATTAAAACACCAAATGCCCTCCTGTCATTTTGAGACTGCTTCTCCATTCCCCCGTGGTCAGTCTGACAGTTCCTCGCAGGAGGAAGATGAAGGCTGCTCCACAGGCACTCCCTGCCACAGCGCCTGTCCCATTGGAAGCAGTCCCCCACCCCAAGCACCTGACTTCCAGGCAGAGGGACTTGGTGGCAGGCATACAGAGGGCTGGGTGGCACTGAGGTGATGACTTCTGGGGGTGGGAAGGCTGTGAAGAAGGGGGGTGGGATTTCTATCTCAGGAGTCCTGTAGCCATCCCCCTACTGGCAACAGCAGGAATGGCATAGTAGGGGGCTCTGTGGCACCCCCTGTGTCTCCTGCCAGTGTCCAGATGGGCACCGGGGAAAATGCTATTGAATGAATAGTTGTGTCCATCCTCCACCAGCCTCTCCACAATCACCAGTCTCCGCCCGCCCCCTCTAACACCCCTGTCCTTTAGAGACTACAAGGACTGAGTTATTCTTAGTAGGTTTCATTCATCGAAGCGTGACAAACGGTGTCCTGGGAGGAATGCCTACGCGCAGCCGAGAGCCAGAGGGGTGAGATGGGGTGCAAAGGCCCCATCTGAGGGGACAATCCAATGCCTTCAAGGAGCTCCAGACTGAAGGGAGACACAGCCCTGCCCTCAGGGAGCCCCGGTCTGAGGGGAGAATCTAATGCCTTCAAGGAGCCCCAGTCTGAGGGGAGACACAGCCCCATCCTCAGGGAGCTCCCTATGATGGAAGATACTACCTCCACACCCCATTCCCCTAGCCCTCAGTGAGATCCCAGTCTAAGGGAGAGATCCAATATCCTGCCTTCAAGGAACCTCTGGTCTCATGGCAGAAAATACCATGTCACCCCCGCTGGAAAAGATCTGGTGCCTACCCAAGGCAGAGACCGATATTCAAGATGAAAAAAGTGGCTGCCAGAGGGGTTTCCAGAAGCATATGCAACCACCACTGCCCCCACATGTAGGGAGCATAAGGCGGGGCTCGGAGGGACACTCATCTTGGCACGCTTACTGAGAAACATGCAAAAACTACAAAGGTGCAATAGTGCAGACTGAGATCCTAGAAAATGAGGAAAAGGCTAAAGGCACAGGCCAGGTGGGCTGGTCTAAATCAAGGTCTCAAACTCAAATGCCTTTGGGGACCTAGTGTGGCCACACTGGCCTTTGCCAATGGGGAGGGCAGCCCACATTGTCCGTAGAATATAGAAACCACATACTCACTGAAGGTCAAAAAAACCTCACTAAAGATTAAACTTGGCCCAAGGCCATCACTTTGCAACCCCCTGGGCATCAGGAAAAAAATTCCTGATAGTGGAGAGGTTGGAGCCTGGTTTGGATAAAGAAGCTGACAGCCAAGTTGCTCCCCTCAAGTGCTGGCCACCAGGCTTGGCTTCTGTGTCTTCAGGGCCTCCTCCCACCCTTCCTGGGATGGAAGACTTGAGCCACACTTCACCAGCTCCCCTGTGGCCAACAGGCCACAGCTGGTCGGCTGCCAGCACTCCAGTCTGCGGCGGGGGTATCACCTTTCTTCGCAGGAATGTAATTCCCCAGGCAGGGGAAGGAGCCTGTCCGGCTCCTTAAATGAGCTGATCTGGAAGTTCTAGCTGGGTGGTCTTCCCTGAGAGCCTTTACTTGTCTGAGCCTTCAGTGCAAAATGGGATACTATCGCCCGGGTGCCCTACCCACCCCCGCCCGGGACAGTTAACTTTCCAGTCGGCCTCAGTGACCATGTCTACGAGAGAGTCCTGCCCCCTCCCCACTCTCCCAGTCCCTTCCTGCAGAGATCTCAAAGACTGTAGGCTTACGGGAGGGGAGGGGCCGGCTTCCCCACTTCAGGCCTAGGGACGGGTCTCCAAGTCCTCCCCTCCCCCCACCCCAGGTTGGCGGGGGGCGGGGGGGGTCTCATAGCTCTCTCCTGGGACCAAGGGGGCAGTCCCGGAGGGCGGCAGGAAGCAGCGGGACGAACCGACGCGCGCGCTACTGGGGACAGGGGACGGGGGACGGGTTCTGGGACCTGGGAGGGGCGGCCTAATTACGGCGCGTTGTCCCCGTGCCGCCGAGCGCCGCGGAGGAGAGCGGCGGTGGGTAATTAGAGCGCACTAGCCGTGCCCCTGCAATCCTGTAATTTCTCCGCGCGCTCCGGGTGTGTTGTAGGAGGTGAAGCGATGCGGGCTCGGCTCTGAGTCAGACTCTCGGAAGCCCGGGTAGTGACGCAGGGGACGAAAGAGTCCGCGGAGAAGTGACTCCTGCCGCGGGAGGCGCCGGCGCCTTCTCCTGGCAAGGAGTCACCCGTCCCGTGGCTGCTCGCACTGCTTCCCCACTTCCGCGGACAGAGTGGGGCGGGGCCTGGGGCGGGGCAGCGAGGGGGCTTGGCCCGGGCCTCCTCCCGCCTCCAGGGGGCGCTCCTCAGTCCTGCGACTCTTCCCCAGGCTTCGAGTCCGGTGCCCTGCACCGAGCCATGTGGCTGGCGCCCCGCGCGCAGGTGGACCGAAAGAGATGCAGATGCAACGCGGTAACAGACCTAGGGCAGTGAGAGAAAAAAACAGAGACATCAGAAGGAAGTGGGGGCGCTTGTTCTAGCTGAGCCCTGAAATCAATTCTGGGGGAGCAGGGAGGAGCGAGCGGGGGGCCGAGGCTGGGAGGGGAGTTTATTTATTAGCCAGATTAGCCAGCATTAATGGGGGAGCGGTGGTGGCCGGCGGCGGCGGGGACATAGCTGGCATAGCTGGCATAGCGGCGGGGCCTCCCGCGGCGCGGGGCTCAGGCGGCTTCAAAGGGGCTTAAAGAGGCCCGTGGTGGCACTGCCACGGCCCCGCGGGGGAGGGCGTGGGCGCGGGCGGCGGGGGAGAAGGCGGCCATTGTGCACCGAGGGATTAGGGATCTGGCCTGGAAGGAATTTTAAACTGCTGCGAGCCGGCGCCCCAGGACTCCCCTCCTGCCCCTCCACTGCTCCAGGAGCAGGAGCAAGCTCAGATGTTTACCTGCATTTCCGTGTCTGGGGGGGTCCTCCCGCCCTCGGATTGGAGGCATCTAGGGTTGTCAGATTTGGCAAGTAACGATGCAGGACGTCCAGTTAAATTTGAATTTCAAATAAACAATGAATACGGTTTTTTTTTTTTAGTATAAGTATACTCCATGTGTTGTATGGGATATACTTATACTAAAATATTATTCGTTGTTTATCTGAAATTCAGATTTAACTGGACGTCTTGTATTTGCTTTTCCAGCAGCCCTAGAGTCACCAAAATGTCTAATCTGTGGCTGCCACAGATTGGGGGCTCCCTAAAAATTCAGTGGGGCTGTGTGTGTCTACCCTCAGACTGTAGGTTTCCTGAAGCCCAATGCTGTGTTTCACCCTTCAGAATGGAGCTCTGATGGTAGAGTACATGCCTCCATCAGAATAGGAGCTTCCTGAGGACGGAGCTCAATTTCAGATTGGACCTTTGAGGTCAACGTCTGTGTCTTCATCACACTGGAGGTTCCTGAAGGGGTGTGTGTGTGTGTGTGTGTGCTTCCTTGAGGGCAAGTCTGTCTCCTCCTCCAAGCAGGTGGTGGCCCCTCCCCCTATTGGTGTAGTTTCCTGTCTACAGGGGGCGCTAGGGCCCCAGAGGACTGACCTACAGATGGATGGGTCCTGTTTCTTGGCACTCAGGGCTGCAGGTTCTCTAGGGTTGATGGACCTGGGGACTTGGGAGGTGGGGTCCCCATCCTGTGTGGCTCTTGACCTGGTCCTGGCCCCTGTCCGGGAGTTGAGGCCAGGCCTGCTTTGGCAGAAGCCGTGGCCAGCATGTGGGAGAATCTCCGAGTCTGGTTACCGACAGTTTTTGGCAGGAAGGGACAGTGTGGCCCTCGGTGCAGAATGGCCCTGCCCACCTCCTCTCTTCCCATAACCATTGCAGCCAAGCCTCTGTCCTCTATCAACCTCACAAACCCCATTACCCAGCCTTTGCCTGTGCTGTTCTCTGTGCCTCTCTTCCTGTCCTTGAGGACAGCTGAAGTCTCACCACAACTCCTGGATGTTCTGGCCTTCAGCAGGGTAGGTATGGCCAAGTAGGCTGCTTGTGCCTGGGGGTCTTGTGGTGAGAAGAGACATCCATACACTCCTTCCTTCCTCACCAACCTGGGCCACAGGGGCCAGAGAGGGGACAAAGGTGGGGGTGGGGAGAGATGGGAAGGTGGGGGGAGTGTAGGTGGAGGGGAAGCAAGAGGAAGTCATGGCCACCATCTCCTCCCCGCCGCCCCCCGCCACTGTAGCCCCTTCCCAAATCCCCTGTTCCACCCCCTCTCCCTCCCCCCCACCCCAGCCTCTGAACTCTTTTCCCTTGAAGCTGAGGGAAGCCGGGGAGAAGCCCTTTCCCACGACCACAGCCTCAGCCACCCCACCCCCTGCTTCTTCGGCCACAGCCACCTTAGCCTCTGCAGAGCACAGGCCTGTCCTGCTCCATCCCTACAGGGCCCCCTCCTTGAGCCAGGACGCCTGCTTCCTCGAGTGGCATCACCCCACTCCTCAGGCGACCCAGTCATCAGGTCAGCAATTAGCTACCGCATGAGGCCACCGAACGTCACAGCCCCTCCCCCCAGGCCAGCTGGCGGCCGGAGTGCTGGGGGGTGCCCCCCACACTTTGTAGTCAGTGCCAAGTCCTGGCAGGACCTCCCCCCAGCCTACTGAGCGCTGGGGTATTGAGCTCTTCATCTTGGGACCCTGTGCTCCTGGGGGCGGGAGAAGCCTCGCTGCTCCCTCCTCCCTCCATGTCACCCCATCCCATTGGGTGAGGACACTCCCACTGCCTGGGTGGGGCAATGCCAGCTCAAGGGCACCTCAGCCCAGAGCGAGTGGAGCGAGCGGGTCTGGGCCTGAGATTCAGGTGTCTCTGTCCCCAGTCATACGCAGTTTTCACCAGGCTGTCACCTGGGGCCTGGGAATCTGTGCACTGAGGATGGTGGCAGTGACCTGGTAAGGGGGGAGCAATGGGCGGCCCTCTGCAGAGACCCAAACGTGCAGGGGGGCAGTCTCTTCCTGAATGCCCACGGGGGGCTCGCACACCTGCACCTGGGCACACTCACAGATCCAACCTGGGCAGTGTGTGTCCCACACACTGTGCCTGTCCCTGGCAGGCAAACCCACCTGGACGTATACCACATGCCCAGACGACCCTTCCTGTGGCGTGCACACAAACCCACCGCCATGCTCACAGGCAACAAGCTTACCACCACACCAAAACCAAAACCAGGACATGACAGAGGAGCCCAGCCCAGGAGGGTGGGATGAGAGACCACGCCCCCCTCCTCCATCCCACCCCTTGGGCTCGGTGTCTCCCTGGGGAAGGGTGGGAAGGGTGTGTGGTGGGCAGGTGGGCAAGTGGGAGCAGCTGTGGTCTGAGTCTGGAGGTGGGGGCAGGGTATGGATTTCCAGAGAGAATAAAAAAGTTCCAACAAATTTAAAGAAAGGTGTGGAATCTTAGGCAGATCATCATTCCTTAGGGCCTCAGGGATTGCATCTGTAAAACGGGGATATTAAGGACACCATTTAAACTTGGTTGAGAAGTTTAATGGAGGTAACTGGCTCAGAGCAGGTGCCCAGCCCACATAACTATTGAGGAGACCCTCCCTATGTCCCGTCTCTGGGTGGTGGATTTGCCCACAAGAGCTGCCCTGAGGAGAGAAGCAGCCCTCATCCTGGGCCTTACCTGAGCATGTGCTCACCGCTGGTTTTCTCCACTTCCTGGCGTCCAGCCCTGGCCAGGCGTTGGGGCTGATAGGGTGTTGCTCCGGATTGGCCTGGGGGCAGGGCCTGGGAGGGGCTGTCTGGCTGCCCCGCCCCTACCTGACTGGCCCAACAGGTAGCTGAGCGCTGGCTTCCAGCCCTGGGAGGGGATGAGTCAGTCAGCACCGCCCCATCCAGGCAAATGGGGCGCAGGGGACGGGAGCTTGGGTGGAGGGGCCTTCTAGGAACGTTCCTGGAAGAGGACCTGGGAACCAAGCTGCTGCCTGGAGCCACCGCCTCAGCCTACTAGTCTGTACCCAGCTCAGCAAACACCCTCGTCCTTGCTTCTCACAGCGAGCCCTCCGCCCTCTGGATTCATGGGGCCGCCCCAGCTGGGAGCAGGGAGCCAGGCCTGAGGCCCTCGTGCTGCCTTGCCGCCCTTCTCAGCCCTTCAGGAAGGCTGTCCAAGCCATGGCCACAGGGCCACAGGTACACACATGCTCTTGTACACATGTCCGCAGCCACATAAGCACAACCAGAGACGTGTTCCCACAAGCACATGCATACTCTCACTGCTCCCTCACACTTATACACACCCACATAAACACCCGACTTCATGCACACACTCATGTACACGACACACAAACTTGCAGAGTCATAATCACTATTGTTGGTTGGATTGTGTCCCTCAAAAGATATGTTGACATCTTTGTCCCAGTACCCGTGAATGTGACTTTAGTTGGAAACAGGGTCTTTGTAGATGTAATCAAGATGATATCTAACTGGATTAGGGTGGGCCCCTAATCTAATGACTGGTGTCCTTTTAGGAGAGAGATTTGTAGACAAAGAGATACGAGGCACACAGGGAAGAAGGTCACGTGATGACGGAGGCAGAGTTTGGAGTGATGCAGCCACAAGCCAAGGAGCGCCAGGGATTGCCTGCAACCACCAGAAGCTGGGAAAGAGGCGTGGAACAGACTCTTCCTATAGCCTCCAGAAGGAACCAACCCTGCCGACACCTTGCTTTTGGACTCTGGCCTCCTTAATTATGAGAGAATAAATTTCTGTTGTTTTAAGCCACCAGGTCTATGGTATAGTTTATTACGGCTGCCCTAGGAAATGAATACAATCATGCACACACACACACACACACACACACTCACAGTGGCTCTAGGCGCAGGAATGAGGTTGGTGGAGTCCCTTTTAGGGGCTGCTCTGTCTCTGTCCTCCTTCCCCTGTGACTAGTCCAGTTGACACCAAAAGGCTCACGGCACCAGGCAGGAGCTCAATAATTTTTCATCTCTCCTTCCCTCCCTGGAGTTCTTATCAAGGCATCCCCCTCAAAATCTGTTCTCAAGAATGGGTAGCCATGGTTATGTGCACCAAAAGACGTGTCTAAGAAGGCTGCGGTTGCTTCAATGCCGTTAATTAAAAATTGGAAACAACCAAATGTCCATCAACAGCAGAACACATAAATCAATTGTGGCATAACTATTCAATGGAAGGCTACTCAGCTACGAAAAAGGAAGAATTAGTGTTGCAGAAACAATGTGGATAACCCTCACAGACCTCATGTCCAATAAACTGGGTCAGACACAAAGGGTGCATGCTCTAGGAGTCCGTTTGCATGCGGCTCAAGAATAGGCCAAGCCAATCTGTGGTGCAACAAGTCAGAATAGTGGTCACTTCTCTCCTGGAGGGGATGGTATTGGCTGGCAGGGGCTTGAGGGAGCGTCCTGGGGGGCTGAAATGCTCTATGCTGGATCTAGGTGGTGGTGACATGCCTGTACAAGCATGAACAAATTCACCAAGCTGTACCCCTAAGATTTGTGCAATTTGGTGCACAAATCTTACACCTCAATTAAAAAAAAGTAAATTAAAAAAACTGGGTCCCCAGGAAGTCAATGACCAGAAGCCACTGGATAGCATCTTCTGGGGTGGGTGGCTGCAGAGCCTGCCTCGTCCCCATGCTGCACTGCTGTCCTTGGACCTGAGGCCCCTTTTGTGGCTGACGTTCCAGGATATTTGTCGACTGTAAACTTTGAGCCGGGGGCTGCCTGGGGAGGCCCTGGTGTGTCTCAGCAGCTCTGGGTGGGAATGGGTGTGCAGAGGATCCCACTGCAATCTGTTTCCCCAATTTAAGACCAAATGTTATAATTTCTTTCACAAAAAGCCCGCACTGAAGCAGAGCTACCTTTTTATGCAGCTTTTGCTATCTGCCAGGCACATACTAAGTATCTTTGAGGGAGGTGGCAGTGTTGCCATTTCACAGGCAAGAAAACTGAGGCTATGAGCTGTTGAGCAAATTCCCAAAGTCACACAGGAAGCTCAACGGAGGGGATTTGGCATGATAGATCCATCATACTGGGGCTCCCTGTGGGCAAGGCTGTGTCTCCTGGTCAGTGTGGGCTCTGGGGTTTCTAAATCCCTCTGCAGGAGGGATTTAGGGGAGGATCTTGTCTTGAACCCGACTCATAGCACAGGCACTGCTTTCCTGGCCACTCTGCTGCCCCTCACCGTGGCTCTGACCACCCTGCCTAGCTCAGGGCTCTGCCCATAGGTGTGCCATAGTTTGGGACCATGGATCTGGGGGGTGAGGGAAGAAGCAGGGTAGGGCGTGGATCAGAAGGACCTGTTCCTTTAGCGACTGTGCTGGAATCAGCTCTAGAGGTTCCCACCCCTTCCACTGCTTCCTGGCCTGGCCCACTGGGTGGGAGTCAGGACCACCCAGCTAAGCCATGCCAGAGCCATGCTGAATGGAGAGCTGGACCCTGCCCCTTGCCAGGAGAACCAGCTGGGAGAGGGACTTCATTAAGGATGTATAGAAGCGCAGTGTGCAGGGTGGCCCTCAGCATGGCCCAGGACCAGGTGCTTCCCACCCACCCAGGCCTTGCTCGCAGGAGCTGGGTCATATGATGGTGCCGAGGAGGCAGGTGTAATGGCAGCTGACATCCTCCTTGGCCTGCCCTGTGACTATATTAAGTTCTGTGCCTGGTCTCCCCTCCACCCTATCCCCAGGACTTTCCCTCCCCCGCCAGGGGATCCTGCAATGCAGACCAAGGAGTCCTTCCTCCCCTCCATCCCATTGTCCTAGGAAAGGGGCACGAGCTTAATGAGGTCAGAGCCAGTGGGTGGGTAAGTGGAGGTGGTAAATTTAGGCCGTGGTGCTAATGAGCTGTAGTGGGGAGCAGCTTGGGGGAAGGCTGTCTGTTCCTAAGGCCTTAGCACCCCTCACACTCAGTCATCCCCCCACTGCCCCCCTCCCGCCCCCACATCACCCAGGGCTCACAAGGGCACACACAGAACACGCTCAGCAGACGCTGAGACACGGTTTTCACTCTTGCAGGGCAACCACGCGGAGGTACCCTTGCACGTTTGCACCCCTGGGAGCCCATTACCACCCTTATAATCCTGTTCAGGCGTTCACGTTTGCACGCCCAACCATGCATGCTTGCAGCCCCATGACCTCACATGCACACCACCCACCCCCGTTCGCCATTTCTCCGAAGCCCCCAGAAGCGGAGGAGCCCTGGGGCTGCAGGGGGGTCGGGGAATGCAGTCTGGAGGATGCAGGGCATTTGCACCCCCTGCCTAGACCTAAAGGCTCAGTCTCTTTCTCCCCCCACCCACAGTGGGACTCACCACCCCTGGGGTGAAAGGCCAGAAGCCCCAGGAAGCCCTGCCTTCTACCCAGGGTGAGGGCAGAGGGCAGGGCAGGGTTTATTAATAAACTCGCTCCTGACTGGGAAGGCCTGTACAGGAGGCCCAACCTCAAGCCAATCACAGCAGAACTTTCCAGGAATGTCACCCCCAAGCAAGCCTTCCTCTGACTCCAGGATTATTTCCCACCCCTGATTTCATCCTCTTGGTGTGTGGGGCTCCCGCCAGGCTGCCCTGGCTCTGCCCCACAGGCCCGCTGTCACCCGGCAGCTGACATCTGCCTTGGCTGCCGCCCAGAGGTCACAGCATGTGGGCGATGGGACTGGGATTAGAACCGCTTCCTCTGTAACCCAGTCCTGCTGCATCCTGCTCCCCCAAACCGAGGACCACTGAGCCCTCTGTGTTGGGAGCGCAGGAGGGCCTCGGCCTCGCTACCCACTCACAGCATCACGATGCTGCCCTGGACCCCCACTCCAAGTGGGGCGGGGCCCTTAAGGCAGAGACCCTGGGCTAGCTTCTTGGCCTTGTGACCTTGGGCAAGCAGAATGTGACTTGTCTGTGGCTCACTGTCATCATTTATAAAAGGAAGGTAAAAACGCCCTCCCAAAATTAGCTGTGAGGATGAGGACTGTGTGATGGCTGGTGTAAAACTATAAAGGGCTATACAAGAGTGTAGAGGAAATGGATTTTATGTCTTTGCCTCTGTCACTAATTCCATTCCCATCTCCATCACCGCCACCACCATCACCGACACCTCCGTCTCCTTCACACCGTCCCTCTGTCACAGAATCACTGCCATGGTCCTCACCCTCATCACAGGGCT